AGTCCATCAACAACTAAAAAAATATTTAAAGAAAAAAATAAAAAGAGCTCTAAGATCAAAAAGTCTGAGAACTTAAGGCTGGGGATATAACTCAGTTGGCAGAGTACTTGTCTTACATGCACAAGGCCCTGGATTTTAATCCCCAGCACCACAAAAAAAAAAAAAAAAAAGTCTGAGAACTGCTAATATAGCAGATCTGTAAATTGAGAACAATGGATTTTAGTTACAGCTCTACTCCTCCACAACTACATGATATTCTCTCCTCTATAAAATTAAGAGTTTGGGACCAGATGACCCTTCTAGAGTCCAAGAAAAATCTATAATTTTATGTTCCTTACCTTGAAATTGTAAATTTCATTGTAACAATCAGCACTTTTCAGAAACCAGGTAATGTTCAAAGACAAATCACAAGGTTCTCCATCAACTATAAAGAAATAATTATAAACAAAAGATGATTCTCAAGTGAAGCATTTTTCCAAAAAGCATTTCCTTATCATATTCTAATTATTATCTACCCTCTACTTAAATACTCAGAGATCATCCCTTCTCCTAACATAAGGAAATGGGTTAACATATGCAAAAAGAACTGAATATTCTTTAGATAAAATATAGTTATTTTCAGAAAGGGATAATAATTAAGTAATTTTTTATTCTTTTGACTGTGGATCTATTTCTACACCTTAAAAACCTCAATTTCTAGATCTCTACTGGGAAAATTTGGGAGTGATAAAAACAGTTCCAAGTTAAAACCAGTCTTCTAGTAATCAAATATTTATTGAACAGAGTTTACAAAGGTACGACAGCACAGCATAGCACAGCATTAGGTCAAAGAAAAAAACAGACAGGAAAGAATTACTAAAGATACTTAAAGAGGCTATACTCTAGTTGAAGAGATACAGAATAACATGAAAAATGTCACATTCACAATTGTTAATTGTGGTTTAAATAATAGTTCCACTGAAGGAAAAATTCCTAGCTTGGACCTTGAAAAACATCAATAATGGACACAAAGAGCAATAAACAAAAAGCAAGCATGGCTGGGAAAGGTTGAAAAGACAGTATTAAATTTTTTTTTCAAAGCTCACCCTAGGCCTCATGAAATCATGGAAACTTCATATAATTCGAAGTTTGGAACACACTATTTTAACAGATCAAGGCACTATTCTGAAAATTTGGGAATGTAAATCTAACTATATGACTGATTAGCTGTCTCACCTGGGAGAAGTCAGCATTCCCCTTTATCTGGAAAAGCACTGGAAAAGGACAATACACTAAAGATTCCCTGCTTTATACAAAGGTGACAATCATGACTGCATTCAGGAATCTACCTCTGGTTCATAACAAAAGAAGCAACCTAATTATAAGCTCCTTCTTTTTGTTTGTTTATTTTAAATTGTTTTCTCAGACTAATTTTTAAACAACCACACATTTTCATAGGGCAGTGCTAGAATATGTAAAACTTCAATTTGTTCAGTATAATTTATGGAAATGATATAAAGGACACTATAATCTAGCTATGAACTATTCAGAAGAACACCTCTAGAGCTAGGATTAATAAATTAAGTCAGTAAGAAAACATCCCCTAAAAAAGAATGCAAGGGAACTGAGCTGCAAAAATATTGCTGTTTATGTTAAAAAAAAAAAATAAATAAATAAGACAAAGTTTAAAACTCTGAATGGAAGACCTGAATAGAGATGATGAAAATGGTTGCATCTATGCCATCAAAGACCATACACCAGGCTGGGGTTGTGGCTCAGTGTTAGAGCGCTTGCCTCGCACATATGAGGCATTGGTTTGATCCTCAGTACGACATAAAAACAAATTTAAAAAAAATAAAAGTATTGTGTCCATCTACAACAAAAAGAAAAAAAAAGACCATAAACCATATGCACAAAAATATAAAATCACAGCCAATTGGTACACAGAAGTAACAGAAAATTTTTAAGGAGCCTCAAATCCTCCAAAAAACTTTAAAATACAGATCAAAATGCAGGTGAGAAAAATACTACTGTTTAAAAGAGTATCCAGGAGAGTGGGCAGCTATAATTCCAGCTACTCAGGTGGACTGCAAGTTCGAGGCCAGCTTCGGCAACCAAATAAGACCCTATCTCAAAAAATACGTGGTGGCATACTCCTGTAATCCCAATAGCTCAGGAGGCTGAGGCAGAAGGATTGCAAGTTCGCAGTCAGTCTTAGCAATAGCAAGGTGCTAAGTAACTCAGCGAGACCCTGTGTCTAAATAAAATACAAAATAGGACTGGGGATGTGGCTCAGTGGTTGAGTGCCCCTGAGTTTAATCCCCAGTACCGAAATAAATAAACAGGACTACAGGTGAAACTCAGTAATAGAGCGCCCTTAGGTTCAATCCATATTACCACAAAAAAATAAAAAGAGTACCCAGTACATAATAAGTATTTAACAACTATTTACTAAACAATTAAAAGAATAAAATCATCTAATTACACCTTAAAACTTTGCACTTTCTAGAGGAAGGTATGTTTAGAAGTACACATTAGTCTGTTAAAAATACGTAGTGAACCTATTAACCAGTAATCCCAGCAACTCAGGAGGCTGAGACAGGATTTCAAGTTTGAGGCGAACCTCAGCCACATAGTGAGCCCCTGAATCAATATTAAAAAATAAAAATGCCTGGGATTGTAGTTCAGTCAGTGCTAAAGCACTCCTGGGTTTAATTCCCAGTTTAAAAAAAAGAAAGAAGAATTGTACAGCAATCATCTGGATTTCATCCCTCATCTTGAAACTGAGCTTCCCATGACCATTTACTCTCTTAAATAAAGCCCGTTTCAGAACTAAAAGGAAGCTTTTCTTTAATACACAATGGAATAGTTTAGATTCAGATACAGTGGTTGTCCCACTAGACAAACTGGTTTTGTTCTACATAATCCCTATTTCCTGGTAATATATCTAAACTTCATCTTCCTCAAGGTGGTAAAATACTCCTTTGGTAAATAAAAGATCTATTGAACACATTTGTTCTGAGCAATGGTCTGACAAACCTAGGTCATGTTTTCAGTAAACATCTAACCAGCATACAAGTGTAAAATTACTGATATCTCTATGACTCAGAACAGATTAAAAACCTATGCAATCAACCGACATAATTACATATTATTCAACTGAGATGACTGAATGTTATATATGTAATGCATAACTATTTATACATATGCAGACTATTTATTCAACACAAATTTAATGTAGTATAAATGAGTATATGACATATAATAAGTATTACTGTACATAACATAGAGTGTATATTCATGTATAATAAACTGAAAAAAAGGGGAAGAAAATAAAGTTCACAAAAGTATTCTGAATAGTATTTAATGAAAGGACCTTAGTTATACCAAATGTTTATACCTATATAGTGTTGGACTACCAAAGTTTTGAACTTAAAAATATATGCAAATAGATGATCAGAAGTGGAAAATAGGTAACTTAGAAATTTCACTTATAACTTCAAAAACTCAAGAAAATTCATGAAATTCAAAAACTCACATTTTAGGAAGATAGTGGTATTTCTGAAAAGGATCTTTCCAAAACTAAAATAATTTTTCCCCTGCAAAGTTTAAAAAAAAAAGAAAATTTAGCATCAGATCACTTCAATTCCCACAACAGAATATAGCTACTTAAAAGTATAAAATATTAAAATTAGCTTTTCCCCCCAAGTTAGTTTTCTTAACTAAAAAATAGTAACGTCTCTCCTTTTAGTGAAATTTGATCACAAAGTGCACAATTTTTCCCCACAGGCCACAAAGCAAGGAATTTAGAAGGGAGGCTACTAGGAAGCTCAACCTAAATCTTCATTTGTCTTAGCCCTCAATAATCAACTCATTTCCTTCACTCACTGATCAATGCAGAGAAGAACCAATAGAGGTTAGGTGTCATTGTCCCGTCTCAAATAATCACTCAACTATTCATCATTAAAGATCCAGGAAAACCCTAAAATTGAGAACAAGTTCTTCACCAAATGAATATAAACTATAATGTATGCTGTATAAATTTACAGTGGGCGAGCGGAGCAAAATGAAACAAAAAAGCCAACGTGGTTTTCACACAGTTAATGCTTTTTTTTTTTTTTTTTTAGCACTTCGTGCCTGCATCTAGTTTATGTCCTATGAAGGACAAAATGAAGTTTTAAAAAGTGGGTGGAACAGATAAAGTCCATTTATCTAGTTAATTGACCAAATTTTAAAAATTAGCCTTACCAAATTAAATTTTAGAATTCTTTCTTTCATTTTTTAGTCATTCCGGTGTTGAAAATAGATTTTTAAATACCAAGGATTCTTAACCTTAGAAAAACTTAGATTAACCAATTTAAAGTGAAAATAAAATCGAACCATTTTGAAAGCAGAATTACCCAGAAAAAAAAAAAAAGAGTGCAGAGGAAAAAAGAAACGAAGACGTCTTTTTACACATCCCTCCTAACTTGGGCTCACTGTACTCTGTAAAACTTCAGCTGAAAAATAAACCACTATCTGATACCAAGTTTAAATCTCTCTCAAGTCAGGCACTGAAAGTTGTTACTTTCTAATGAGAACCCGTTCTACTACTCCTTTGCGCAGCTTAAGTATCCCTGACTTTCTACCTAGCCATTCCACCAAGAACAGCTTTCCGCTCCAGGGAGGTGGGTCCCAGGGGGCCGGCTACACAGACTCTCCCAGAATCCCACCCCTTCGGAAGCAATCTTCTTCCGAACCTTCATGAACCCCTTGGGCCGCCGTAGCCCCACCTCTTGCTCCTCCAGGCTCAGTCGCTCGCTACTCTTTAACACTCACCGACGGTATCGGAACGTGCCACTTGGATCGGTCGGCAGCAGAAACGGGTGCCAGCCCTACGCCGAAAAGCGACAATGGGTACAATTGAGGCCCCAGAAGAAAAAGAATGACAGGTAACACCTGAAGCCACGCAGCTGCCGCCATCTTCTCAGCCATGGAGTGTCTACTGAAAGCATTTCACCTCCTTCCGGTTTGTCCCGCCCTCTTCCGGCTCTGCTCTGAGGGCGGGATCATCCGGGTCCTCGAAACCTCGTGGGGCTTGTTTGTTTTGCAACCTAGCAGCCACTGCTCTGACAGTCGTACTAGAGCTAGTGTGGGACTTTGGACCTATTGCGCAGGCGTCGTCCTGGGGCAACCTGGTCGGTTTGATTAAGATCTCCCAAAGCCACTAAGGCGTCCGGTTTCTGCTCTGCAGCGTTCGGCTCTCCCCTCCTCCCTCTTGCCCTAACCCCTCTTTCTTTCTAAGTCGAACGGGGTCCGAAGTCTGGAGAAGCGGTAATTCTGGTTGCCTGATGGGCGTCCTTTAGCGAGTTGTCCCGTTTGTTGTCCCGTTTGGGACCTGTTTAAGCAAAGGCTGGAATTTGGCACTCGTGTAGTAGAAGCGATTCCTAGCTGGATGGTATAATAAAAAAATCTTTAAAAGAGCCTTTTTCAGCTACAGGAGTTTGGCCGGACAATCAGCTTCCAATAAAGACCTCGCCGGTACTTCTCTTTCAAACTAAAATCGGGAAAAGAGTGCATCAGTTTTCAGTATTTTAGCATGACTGCCACTGAGAGAAAACTGCACAGCTTTGCTCCAATCTGGAGGCCGTCTCGGTGCTTCCTGGTTCTCATGATCTTGTTTTTTACCCTCTAGGAGTCATTGTATACACGCCTTCTCCACTGCAAACAGTTTCGGTTTCTAATGAAAGCACGGTCCTCATCATTCACCCATAATCAGGAAAATTTTGCCACGATAATACCTGTAGAAACGCTAGTTGCGTTTGAAAAATCCAAGGAGCAAGAGCCAATATTTGTCATTCCTTGAGAATCTGGGGGAGACTCCATTTACCAGAAACTTGACGATGGTGAAGTGCTGGTCATAATTTTAGAAAGACGACTCCTTGGCTTTTTATAAAGATCGCCCTAGGCCGTGGCCTGAGAGCTGAGAGCCAGTTGGATTGACAGAGAAGTTATGGAAGCAGCTGGGGAAGAGGAAATCAGGTAAAGACCAAGTGCTCTTGCAGGCACTGACCCCAGAGAGGACTGAAAGTACTTGAAAACAGCCTTCTGGTTTTGAAGTTTTTACTGGGAAAAAAAAAAAAAAAAAAAATATATATATATATATATATATATATATATATGCATTTCTTATTTGAATATTAGGTTGTGTGCTGTATCATTTTTACTCAATTTTGAGGGAATTGGCTAATGTAAATAGCCTCAATATATTTTCAGGATGGTTGAATACAGGATGGTTAGTACTGGAAAAGTTGCCAACATAACTCTTAACATATAAATTTTAAGCATGATGCTTTTCAAGTTAAGTTTATACCCTCCTTCTATGTCATTCCAGAGCTGCTACTTCAAATGTGAAGCAGTGACAAAAGCTGAGTTTAATGAAAGATTTAATTACTTCGTGATAAAGAGAATTTTTTAGTAGAACTAAGTGTATATTTAAGGACTAAGGGAATATATGTTTTCATTTTTTGAAGTTGGTGTCCAAAAAAAAATCATGGACAAACTGACTACAGAGTATACAGCCACACTCTGCATGAAAACTAATGTTTTGTTTTTATAGTTGTTTTAATCAGATGAAGGCTAAATTAAATATCCATAACCAAATGGCAGTGTACATCTTGTTCATGTTTTATTCCAGAAACGTTTCTTCTGGAAATTTAGTGCGCTTGCCTCACATACATGAGGCACTTGATGGCATCCTCAGCATCATATAAAAAAATAAACAAATAAAGATATTTTAGAAAAAGAACATTTACTTCTGGATTGTCATCATCATCATCATCTTAAAAAGCAAAAGATTTTCTTTCTGTGATTGTTTCTAATTCTAGCACTTTGCAATACCTCTCAGAGCATTTGTTAGGTTATATTGTGATTCCCAGTTAGGCTTTTACAGAAAGTATGGACATTGTCCTTCCTATCTTGTCCAGAGCCCAACACCCAGTAAGAATATATTTTGGTGGACTGGGGCTGGGGCTCAGCAGTAGCACACTTGCCTGGCATTTGTGAGGCACTGGGTTCGATTCTCAGCACCACATATAAATAAATAAAGGTCTATCAACAATTAAAACAAAAAAAATTTAAATATATTCTGAAAATATTTTGTTGATTAAATAGGTGAGTAGGTGTTTTTGTTGTTGTTGTTGATTTTTTTTTTTTAATTTTGTTTTTGGGTACCAGGGATTGAACTCCAGGCCACTTAACAGTGGATAAGTGGAGCCACATCCCTAGCCCTATTTTGTATTTTATTAGAGAGAGGGTTTCACTGAATTGCTTAGCACTTCATTAAATTGCTGAGGCTGGCTTTGAGCTCATGATCCTCCTGCCTTAGCCTCCCCAGCCTCTGAGATTATAGGCATGCACCACTGTGCCTGGCCGATTTATTTTTGTGTGTTTTGGGGTTCTTTTTGTTTTGTTTTGTTTTGTTTAATTTTCATTTGTCTTGGAGGGTTTTGTTTTGTTCTTTGCTCTTTCAGATTTTACTGTTGTAGTCATAATTTTAAAAGAACCTTTCCTCATAAATGAGAGTGCCATTTTTCCTTTGCTTTCAGAATAATCCCAGAACTTGATATTTTGTTGTTCAATTTGGATATTTTACAGAAGGATATTAGTTCTGCAACACTTATGCGATTGTATTACATGAAGTAGTTGTGAAACAATTTTGCATTGCACAATAGACTCCAAAGGTTTATTTTGCATCTTCATACTATAGTTAGAGAAGGTACAAAAATTGGATTCACAAACACTATGTAAAATACATTTCTTAAAATGTCTTTTCATTTAGTGTTGAAGAAGAAGCTGTGGATAAAAATGTTTTCAAAAACTGCAGCAAGATTGCTTTCTACAGGTAAGGAAAGTAAATATATTACCTTGATCAAAACATTTCTGGCCAGATGCAGAGGCACACACCTATAATCCTAGCTACCTGGGAGGCTGAAGCAAGAGGTTCTAGGCCAGCCTGGGCAACTTTGTGAGACCCTGTCTCAAAAAAATTAATTAATTAATTAAAGGACTCAGTGGTAAAATACTTGCATAATATGCAGAGGGGCCTGGGTTCCATCCCCAGTACCACAAAAAAAAATTTTAATTAAAAATTCTGACAATATTTTAAAATTAATGCTATTAACTTTTGAGAATCGATAGGCTTTCTAAGGAAAGGATCAATTAGGAAATGTAATGATTAAAGAATTCTTCAAGGGCTGGGGTTGTGGCTCAGCGGTAGAGCACTTGCCTAGCATGTGCAAGGCCCTGGGTTTGATCCTCAGCACCACATATAAATAAATAAATAAAAGTAAAATGAGGGTATTGTGTCCAACTACAACTAGAAAATAAATTTAAAAATATAATTCTTCAGACTTTTACCTCTATATACTTACCACTATTTAAATTTTTAAACTAATTTTAAAATTTCATGCCTGAATAGATAACACTTTCATGTAGTTCAAAAGTTATATAAAAAGATACACATTGAAAAGTGTTATTCCCACTGCTGTCCGCTTCCACCCTATGCCTCAACTTGTCTCTGTCCGTGACTAGTTTTATTAATTTCTTATTTATTCCAGTAGTTCTTTTTGTAAAGGTACATATTCTTACATCACCCTCTTTTTTTTCTAGTTGTCAATGATCCTTTATTTTTATTTACTTATATGCAGTGCTGAGAATCAAACCCAGTGCCTCATACATGCTAGGCAAGCGCTCTACCACTAAGCCATCACTCTAGCCCCTCACCCATTTTCTTATACCAAATTAATCTCTGCATATACTGTTCTATATATCTTTTTTTTCTGCTTTATAGTTTATTCTAAAGAACCTTGACTTGAGTACTTGGAGAATCTCCTCCATTTTTGTAGTTGCATAGTATTCCATGGTTAGATGCACTATTTCATTTGTCTCCTCTTGCTAGATCCTTGGGTTGTTTTCAGTGTTTTGCTATAATAGATATCCGAAAATCCATCCTTTAGATATCTGAAAGATGGATTTTTAGGAATGGGATTATTGGTTTAAAGTGTAAATGCATTTGAAATGTGGTAACTACTACCAGATTTTCTCTACCAAGATTGTACTATTTTATACTCCCATCACTATTCTATGAGATCATTTGTTTCCCCAGAGCCTCAAAAAGATGTCTTTAAAATCTTTGTTTTTTGCTATCTACTTTTATGTGATCCTGAAACAAGTAATAAAAAAGTGTTTTATATAATTTAACTTTCTAATTTATTCACTCTATAGAGAAAGGAAAATTTGTGTGTGTGTGTGTGTGTGTGTGTCTGTCTGTCTTTGTAGGGATAAATATAGGGCCTCATGCATGCTACACAAGGACTTTTAATGGCAAGCTCTGAGCTACATTCCCAACCCAGAAAAGTATACCATTTTTTTAAAATTTATTTGATTTGTTATACATGATGGCAGAATGCAATTTATTTCATATTACAAATATAGAGCACAATTTTTCAATTTACACTGGTTTTACACAAAGTATTTTCATACCATTCGTGTCTTACATGATCTTAAGTGATGGTGGAATGTCTTAATTCATTCCACCATCATTTTTACCCCTTTGCACCCTCCCTTCCCCTCCCTCCCCTTTGCCCCATCTAAAGTTCCTCCATTCCTCCCATGCTCCCATGCCCCTAATCGCCATTATGTATCTGTATCCTCATATCAAAGAAAACATTCAGCCTTCGGTTTTGTGGGATTGGCTTATTTTGCTTAGCATGACAACTCCAACTCCAACCAAATGGCAAATGGTTGGAGTTGGAGTTGTCATATTTCAAATGCCATAATTTCACTCTTCTTTAAAGCTGAGTAATGTTCCATTGTGTATATATACCAAAGTTTCCCTATCCATTCATCTACTGAAGATCATCTAGGTTAATTCTATAATTTAGCTATTGTGAATTATGCTGCTAAGTATACGATTTTAATTCAGAACAGGTATCTTAGAGGGAAGTCTACATTGATAGCAAACACCATTATTTGTCGGATTACTGCTAATTACAGCAGTACTATTATTTAGTTCCCTCCCAGTACTAGAAGCAGAAATTCCTGAGCTTCTCACTAACTAAAACCTCAATATGACTTTCTCTGACCCAGCTGGAGGAGGAGACCCAATCCTCTATGAACATTTATTCCAATTCTTTGGACACCCAGAAGTATATACTTTTTTTTACCTGGATTTGGAATTATTTCACATATTATTACTTATTATTCAGGGGGAAAAAAAGAAGCCTTTGGTTATATACGAATTGTGTGAGCTATATATCTATTGATTACTTAGGATTTATTTTCTGAACCTACCACATAATTACCATAGGAATACATATTGATACCTGAGCATATTTTACATCAGCTTCTGTAATTATCTCCATTCCAACAGGGGTTAAAGTCTTTAGCTGACTAGCAACACACACAACAGAAACATTAAATGATCTCCTATAATACTATAAACCCTTGTATTTATTTTCCTATTTACCATTGAACATCTTATAGGAATTGTTGTAGCCAGCTCATCACTAGGTGTTGTTTTATAGGATTCATATTACATTGTAGCTTACTTCCACTATGTATTCTTCGCATGAGCAGTGTTGACAATTATAAGAATTCAATTATAGGAAGGTTTGTCTACTGATACTCTCTAGTCTCAGGATACACTCTAGATTCTACGTGTGCAAAAATCCACTTCACAGTAATTCATAGGATATGCCTGGTCATCTTGTTAAACCATTATATGAATTTCTACTAGAATCTATTCAGTTGCTACTAAAGGATTTATTTCATGAAAAGAGAGTAGGACATGAACAAACTCATAAATGACATCTTTGAAAATTACCCCACTTGCTCAATAAAGGAGACAAATTGCAATCCTTAAGCAAATTAAGGATGTTATATTGAAAAATTACATTAATATTCTTATTAGTAATAATTTTATTAGTACTCAAATAATATGTAGTACCTTTAATACTTTATGAGAGTACTAGTACTACCTATGCCCTGTTCACTTAATAACACAGTGAATTTTTTTTTTTTGTACTAAGGATTGAACCCATGGTCGCTTTACCCCACTGCACTACATCCCAAGTTCTTTCTGTTTTTCCTTTTGAGGCAGGGTTTCACTAATCTGCCGAGAATCTCACTAAATTGCCCAGGCTGACCTTGAATTCATGATCCTTCCACCTCCTGAGTTGCTGGGACTACAGGTGTCTGCTACTACTCTCAGCTTCATAATGCATTTTAATGACTTTTACATGTTAATATACTCTATTGGATGCTGCCAATCACAAATAGTCCTCACACAACTTTATATTTCATATTGATAGGCGTCAAAAACAGCTCTCCAAGAATTCTACCTATCGGGCATTATTAGACTCAGTCACAACAGTAAAAGACAGCACCAGGTTCCAAATCATCAATGAAGCAACTAAGGTGAGTTAAAAGTATCTTCTACAGAGAATAATTTTGTTTCTGTGTTCATTTGGGTTGAATAATCTAAATTTCCACAATAGCTAATTAAAATTGTATGTCTCCATAATATATTTCATTAGAGAAACAATGTGTCTTTTTGTGTCTATACTGATAATATTGGAGGGTACTAGGGATTGAACTCAGGGACAATCAACCACTGAGCCACCTCCCCAGCCCTATTTTGTATTTTATTTAGAGACAGGGTCTCACTGAGTTGCTTAGTGCCTCGCCATTGCTGAAACTGGCTTTAAACATAAAATCCTCCTGCCTCAACCTCTCAAGCCACTAGGATTACAGGCTTGTGCCACCACGCCTGGCTATACTAATAATATTTTAATAGTAGTATGAGGGCTGGGATTGTGGGTCAGTGGCAGAGCACTTGCCTTGCATGTATGAGGCACTGGGTTCAATCCTCAGCACCACATAAAAATAAATAAATAAAGGTATTCTGTCCATCCACAACTAAAAAAAGAGATTTAAAATAGTAATATGAATGTCAACATAGATTATCTATGTATCAGATGTTTTATAGGTGTTTACAAATATAGTTTCTTTTTAATTAGTCTTCTTAATGCACCTAAGAGGTACATTTTATTATTCCCAGTTATCAGATAATAAAAATTGGATCTAGAAAGTCACTTGCCCAAAGTTATAAAACATACAGTTGTTCCTGTAGCCTGAGAAGATTCAGTGAATTTTCAGACTTGAAAATGCAGATGACCAGGGAATAGTAAAAGGACCATTCAGTAGAAAATCTAAGTCACAAGTATCCCATCTCCTGAGCTGCTTCACTAACAGATCACTATGTTCACTACATATAAAAGAATGTCTTAAAATAAGTAGTTTTTCTTATCTGTCAGGTCATCGTACTACTTCCCACGTGCCACAAAGATGGGCCAGTCATACTGCAAATTGGTGCAGCCAATATGGAAAGCAGTATGGAGATTCCTGGGAAAACATGGAATGGAACCACCATTTGACCCAGCTATCCCTCTCCTCAGTCTATACCCAAAGGACTTAAAAGTAGCATACTACAGGGACACAGCCACATCAGTGTTTATAGCAGCACAATTCACAATAGCTAAACTGTGGAGCCAACCTAGATGTCCTTCAGTAGATGAATGGGTTAAAAAAAATGTGGCATATATATACACAATGGAATATTAGTCAGCAATAAAAGATAATAAAATCATGGCATTTGCAGGTAAATGGATGCAGTTAAGATAATTCTAAGTGAAGTTAGCCAATCCCCCCCAAAACAAATGGCGAATGTTTTCTCTGATATAAAGTGACTGACTCATAGTTGGGTAGGGAGAGGGAGCATGGGAGGAATAGACAAA